TCAATTCGATCCCCCGATTGGATCGGGGGCAAACGCCTACGAAAAGATCGCTTGGATTTAAGAAAAGTTCGCTTGGATTTATCCATGGTTTGGTTAGTTTATTTCTTATCCCTAAAATCCTATTTCAGCCGTATCTCTAATTAGAATAAAAAAATAGGATTTGGTTTGTTTATAATTATCTTTAACTATGTTAAATATGTTATATATATAATGTCATTTTTTCCTTTTCCTTGTAAGATAGATAAGGGCGCAGGTGCTCGGTTCGATCTATTTCTTTACCTCCCCGTGAATCGTATGTTTGTAACAATATGGACAGAATTTTCGCAACTCCAATCGATTAGGCGTATTGTGCCGGTTCTTTTGAGTAATATATCTGGAAATGCCCGTTGATGCCTTATTAACATTAACACCGTTTCGAACACAAGCGGTACATTCCAAAAGAACCGGTATTCGCACATCTTTACCCTTGGCCATGAACCTCCTTTGGATTTTTCATTTACTCAACTCTTCCTCTTTCAATCCGAAACGAAAAAGAAGAAAGGAAAAAACAAAATAGAATTTGTAACTTACTATCCTCTTATGCAAGATTTCACTACAATCAATATAGCAAATAAGATAGAAAGATTTCTAAACTAGATTTCAAATCACAGTACAGTATTTCATATAAGTATCTTATATAATACTCTTTCCCTAGAACCACAGTTTGTATTCTACTTCCATAGAAATTGAATACATAGAAATTTCATATTAATTTAATTCCAACCTGAACCCGAGTCTCGCAGCTGTTGAATGCACTTTTATTCTTTCTCTTTCCTCCCTTATTCTAAAATTTTTTAAAGGGAAAAAAGAGAAAAGAAGGGGGGCTGGTATTTAATTGTATCTCTAATCTTCTTTATTCCTTCCCACGTCAATAACTAGAATGAAAAAAAGGGGAACGTCAACGCATCCGGGAAAAAACGATTAATCTCTATCAATAAACCTGCCAAAGAACCGAACCATAGAGTACTTAATACCGGTGCTACGGAAAGATATGTTTTTAGATCTCGCATTGAAAAACCTCCTTCATTTTATTGTAATACATAAACATATTGAAATGTACAATCATCCAGTAAATAAGATTGACTTTTTGTTAAATACAGAAAGTCCTTTCTTCCCCAATATTCCCCCAACTCATTTATTTTTCCTAGGGGTTCCATTCCATTTTTCATATAGATAGAAGTATTTTACTATTATTATATGTTAAATGAGAACAAAAAGACGAAATGGACATAAAAATTCTAGATTTTAATAGAGGAGATAACGATGTGGAAAACAAGACAAGAATTCTCTACAATGACACTGTAGACCAATGGAAGGGATGTAGCGCAGCTTGGTAGCGCGTTTGTTTTGGGTACAAAATGTCACGGGTTCAAATCCTGTCATCCCTACCTATTACTGCTCCTTTGAGCAGTAACGAGGGATTTTTTGAGATCAATTCACATTGGACATATCATATAGAATCTTTCATTGTTATGATACTATGATAGTGTATGCATACAAGATGTATTGGGGCCAATCCTTTTATTTACAGTCTTATCTTTTATGATAAGAAAGCGCTCTTAGTTCAGTTCGGTAGAACGTGGGTCTCCAAAACCCGATGTCGTAGGTTCAAATCCTACAGAGCGTGATTCGGATCTTCTTCGATCGAATTCGGTTGAAGCACTAACTGGAACGGCAATCTGAATTTGACCTCCTGGATATTAAAGAAAGGAGGAGGTCAATCAAAAAAAGAGATGTTAATTAATCTAATCAAAGGTCCAACTGATCACCACGCCTGTATTGTAAATATGCAGTTACAAATAATCCAGCCAAAGTAATAGGAATTAGACCTAACACGATTCCAAATAGGAAAACTTCAATCATTTCAATTTGTTTGAAAGGAGAAAAAAGAGGTAATATCTATACCTAAATATTAATCTGAATTACCATGAATCTCAATGACCAAGAATTGGCAATGGACACGGTAAGTAACTATAAATACACAGAAGTTCGCGGAAAGATTTCCTTTTATGAATTGTGCAATGAATTTCAAATCAGTCGTATCTTGCTCAGACCAATAAATAGAGCTGAGGTTATAGTTAAAGCCGTCAGTAGAAAACCGAAATAACTAGTTATGGTAAGCATGAAGGAGCTAAATGAAATATGTTCTTTTTATACATATGTTTATAAAAAAGCACTTACCTGAGTTTCCTTTTTTGCAAAATAGGAGATAAAAAAAAATACCAATTGAAAGAATAAGTCCAATTGAAAGGTTTTGATTGATCTATCATTATAGACAGCACTAACAAGGAGAAAGTCACAACTGTATAAAAAAAAATGGATTAATCATCTGTAACATCTACCCATACCGCCAATCAGCGAATTCATTCTTGGATAATTTTTCAACTCAACTTAGAAACGAATAATAAGAACTGGGTCATTTAATTTCGTTTTAAAATGAAAGTCTTTTCGAATCATTATGGAATGAAATTATTAAATTATTCCTCTTTTTATCATTTCTTTTTTTTTTTTTTATTGTATCGAATCAATTTTATATTTTAGAGCGAACAGTAATCTTATAAAACTTTTACTTTGATTTTAACTAATTAGATTCCGTAATAGGTTCACTTATATAATATCTTGAATGAATGAGAACAAAAAGTTATCACATGATCACTCGAAAAAAAAATAGGTGTTTTGGTTCAACTATATTCTAAGACTAGTCATTTCTATTCTATTTTGCTTTAGAAGTTCTATTTTGTATCTTTCCAAAAATCTGCATTTTTGTAGTTAGGTCAAGAAAGAACCTTCCGATTTTGATCTAATACAACACTGCATGCACTATTAGTGATTCCAATTATTTCATTCTTTGTTCTTTTTCGTTTATCGAATAAAATTTGCTATTCTTACTTGTTACTGGACGATTAACCAATTCCTTAAAAGAAAAAAAAAGATTCCAACAAAAACCGCTTCTACAACTATGAATAACAAAGATTTATAGATCTCACATCTACTTACAATTGTGGGAATATTCTAATCAATTTCATGAATTATTAGAAACTACCTTATCAGATTCATATTTTACCTGATCCTCAGTTTCTAGCCCTAAACTCATAATGGTGAGAAATAGATTATTTTCAATTTAATAATTTTCTATTGAATGGGACATTATTTTACATCGATAAACAACAAGTAACGGAAGAAAGAAATTATTTAGCACCTCCTTCCAATACTCATTGAAAGTGCGTTGCTGTGTCAGAAGAAGGATAGCTATACTGATTCGGTATACTCTAAAGACGCCCTCGGTACAATATTGACGATCTCACAAAGATTTTTTTCAGTGAATTTCCATTTACTGATCCAATCTTTTACGGAATCGATCCCCTTTTGACTGTACAAGAATATGTGGAGCTCAGCATGTCTGGAAGCACAGGAGAACGTTCTTTTGCTGATATTATTACCAGTATTCGCTACTGGGTCATTCATAGCATTACTATACCTTCCCTATTCATTGCGGGTTGGTTATTCGTCAGCACTGGTTTAGCTTACGATGTGTTTGGAAGCCCTCGGCCAAACGAGTATTTCACAGAAAACCGACAAGGAATTCCATTAATCACCGGCCGTTTTGATTCTTTGGAACAACTCGATGAATTTAGTAGATCTTTTTAGGAGGCTTCAATGACCATAGATCGAACCTATCCAATTTTTACAGTGCGATGGTTGACTGTTCACGGCCTAGCTGTACCTACCGTTTCTTTTTTGGGGTCAATATCAGCAATGCAGTTCATACAACGATAAACCTAATCCGAATTATAGAGCTACGACACAATCAAACCCAAACGAACAAAATGTTGAATTGAATCGTACCAGCCTCTACTGGGGGTTATTACTCATTTTTGTACTTGCTGTTTTATTTTCCAATTATTTCTTCAATTAAGAAAAGGAGAGAGAACTAAAATAATAGACTAATCGTTCTAGGTATTCTTTCTCTTACCCCATTCGGAAGGATCTCATCTCATAATTATCCATGACTGTTTATGTCTCTAGCATGACCACTTGATGAAATGTGGAGGGAAGTGGGGTAAATGGCCGATACTACTGGAAGAATTCCTCTTTGGATAATAGGTACTGTAGCTGGTATTCTTGTGATCGGTTTAGTAGGTGTTTTCTTTTATGGTTCATATTCCGGATTGGGTTCATCCCTGTAGTAATCGGATGAATTGAGTTGTAGACATGAAAGCGTAAGAACTCAACGGATTCCCTTCTTTGTTTGTCTGATTTGAGGGAGAAGGTCCCGTTGAGTTCTTAATAATTAGAATATTTTTTTTTATAAGTTCATTGAAGAAGTTCTATTTACTCAACAGATTTTCCCCTCCTCTTTTATTTGTCCACCACTTTTTATTTATAGTATACGTAATTATTATAAGATAAGAATAAATAAAATACGTAATAACTATAAAAAAACGTTCTGATACGTCTGTAAAAAATAGAAACTAACACTAGGAATGTTTGACGAACAGTATCAAGAATCATTATTATTTCGACACAAGAAAAGGATTTTTCACACCCCTTTCTTGTGTCGAAGACTAGGAAGACGAATAACCCCTCCCAGAAATATTTGTTCCCTTCAATTATCCGTTCTATTTTGCGTTTACTTTTGTATAGGATCTAGCCGAAGTCCATTGTATTAGACTCAAATGCATTTTATGACATTTTAATCTGCCAATAGCAACATAATAACATCACCCCAAATTTTTATAAAAAAACAAAAACAAAGAAAGAAGGGGTCAAGTCAAATAGTCTTCTTCACAATCTACATACTGTGGCTAGGAATGTGGTACAAGGAATTCCCGGCATCTCGTAGAAAAAGAGTATAAACAAACAAAAGGCTTTTTAGAATTTTATTTTTTATCATAGATAATCATAATTACTAAAAAAAATTTGGTTCTTTTTACAAACTTGAGGTCGATAAATCCGCGAGTCTAGAAATTCATTTCGGACAATTGAACCTTCTCGAACTGTTTCTTTTTAAGAACCAAAAATATTTGTGCCAAAATAACAGATGCTAAGAAGAACAAAAGGCCTTGTACACGTAATGGATCTTGAAGTACTATTTCTGCATCTCCCTGACCAAATCCGCCCACATTAGGATTACTTGTCAACGGCTGCTCAAATTTGATAGATTCGCCTTCTGAAACAAGAAGTTCTGGCCCCGGAGGGATAATATCAACCACTTGACGTCCATCCGATGCATCCGCTATGGTTATTTCGTATCCCCCCTTTTCTTTTCGTAGGATTTTGCTTACTATACCGGATGCTGTAGCATTATAAACTGTATTGTTACTCTTGCTCCCGTCAGGATAAATCTGGCCCCTTCCCCTGTTTCCGCCTACGTATATAGGATATTTTAAGAAGTGAATGTCTTTCTTAGTAGCGGGGTCCGGGGAAAGAATAGGAAACGTGATTTCACTATATTTCTGACCAGGAACAGGGCCTATGACAAGAATATTTTTTTGATTTGGGCGGTAGCTCTGAAAAGACAGATTGCCCATCTTTTCTTTTATCTCGGGGGAAATACGATCGGGAGGGGCTAATTCAAAACCCTCTGGTAAAATAAGAACAGCCCCCACATTTAAAGCCCCTTTTTTACCATTAGCAAGAACTTGTTTCAGTTGCATATCATAAGGAATTCGAACAACTGCTTCAAATACAGTATCGGGAAGTACCGTTTGCGGAACCTCAATATCCACTGGTTTATTAGCTAAATGGCAATTGGCGCATACAATACGTCCAGTCGCTTCTCGTGGATTTTCATAGCCCTTCTGTGCAAAAATGGGATATGCATTTGAAATGGATGCACGAGTTATGATATATATCATGAGCGATACGGAAATAGATCGAGTAATCTGTTCCTTTATCCAAGAAAAATTATTTCTAGTTTGCATGGTCCAACCATTGATCCCGAAAATTTATACAATAAATTGGGGTAGGTCACTAATGGAGTTTCCTATCCACGATTCTGTTATTTACTGGAATAATTTGACTGGATTAATATATAGGATGAATCTCCGGGATGGGTAGAAAGATAAAGAGTGAGTACGATTTTCAATGCTTTGCTTATGTACAACTGCAAAGTAAGAAACATTCTAATTGGATTAGGTAGATAATTTTTCAGTCATTCATTGAATGATAAATCACTACAAGTGACGGAGATACGCGATTTAAATAACGGAAAATCCAATATTTGAAAATTGTATCTAGAATGACTGGAAAAGTGGAAACAAGGCCAGATATAATTTGCTCATTATGAACAAATCCAAAATCCTTGTAGACAAAGCCAATCATCAGTTCCCAACCATGGGGCGAATGAAATCCGATACATAAATCAGTTAATAAAAGAAGAGAAAAAGCTTTTATTGTGTCACTTAAGTTATATAGGAATTCCTGAACCCAAGAGTTAAGAATAACAAGTTCTTTATTACCCAAAAGAGAATAACCACTTAGAATAATGAAACAGATTATATTTGTCGAGAAGTGCAAAATCGTATGAATACGACCCTCGTTGTGTATCTTGATTAATTGGATTGTTTCTTTGTGAATTCCTATACGAAGGTTTTGTAGATGTGTCTCCGAGTATTCCTTAATCATTTCCTCTAAGAAGAGGAGTTCCTCTAATTCTATGAATTTTTCTAGAATACTCTTTTCTTCAATATCATTCAAAAAAGGTTCGGATTGCCTAGTATTCCACCAATTAGTAACCCAGGATTCCATA